TAGCCCCACTGGGGATTGAGTTGTTACAAGGCCGCGCGTCACCGCTAAAGAAAGTCAAAGCGCCTCTGCTCCATGCTCTCCTTGGCAAAGCACATGGCATCCCTCTCCAAGCAAGGTGAGGTCCTGTGCTGAAAGAGCAAGAGGCTTTTGCTTGGGACTTGCACAAGAAGCAGAGTGTTGTGCAGGTGGGTGCCTGGCAGAGCGGCTGAAATCCAGAGCCCAAAAGGGATGGGATTTTGGTCAGTGCCCCATGACCGAGCTCTGGAAGGGCCCTGTGCTGTGCTGATCCATGATCTCTAGATCTATCCTGGAGGCAGATCTGCCATCCCTCACCTTCATGACACAGCCATGGACCACTGCAGGGCACAGAGATCCTCCCAGCTTCCTTTCCAAGGTGTGCCACCAAGCAAAGAAAACTAATTATTTACTAGGCACAAAATAAAAGAGGAAGCTCAGCGATTAGGACAGTCAGCTCAGAAGAAGAGAAACCCGGGGTCTCGTTGCTCATGTAAGAAGCATTTATTGATTTGGCTGTGGACAGCCACCTAAGAAAACACATCAGACTGCAGGAATTAGACAACCTAGTTCTTCATCCTCCACCAAATGAAATCTCACCCCTGCAGAATTAGAAGGAGTCCTGTTGCCAGAGGGGAAGACACCTCAACAAAATCAGCAGCCATCTGGAAGGTGAAACCTCTAGAGATGCTGGAAATGCGATGCTTCACTGCCAGGCTGGAGAAAGTCTCACTGCCAAAGCTCAGAAGAGGCCTAAACTAAGGAGCCACCAGGAAAAGTGGGGACTTCTCCTCAGATGCTTTTGCAGGCGAGGATGGCACCTAAGTGACAGCAGCTGGGCTAATGGGTGCTGGCTAGTTCAGGATATGAATGTTCTTGGGAATGGTGTCCCACACAGCCCCGAATTTTCTCCCTTCTCACACAGCAGAATCAGCTCCTGACCAGCTTGGAACAGTGAGAAGCCAGGGACTTCTGCCACCACTTTGGCTAGGCTTGCACTTGGAGGATGCAAGCGCTTATGTTCCACCTAAGGTCCTCTTCAGACATCTAAATCCTTCCCTGTATGTGACCTTAACCCTTGAGCAGAATATAAAAAAACACAAAAAAGGAACAGAATCAAATGAAAACACATGGCCATTGCATTCCTGCTTCGAATGTAAATAGAGTAATTTAAAATTAAGTGTTCTTGGCTGAATTTTTTCTCTGGTTCTCTCACCTGGGCTTCTTTTCATACTTTACATCAAAAATGTACATGTCTGTGTAAATATGACAGTGCCTGTGTCTCCTTCTGTAGTGCTCATACTCTTGTTTTTCTTGAACAGCTTGGAGAGAAAGCCATATGTTGGACCAGAAGTGCCCAGAGCTAAGCGTGGCTCCCACGTCTGTGTGACCAAAGAGGGAGCCCATCACTGCAAGACAAACACAGTTGTTTCACCCACACCAACTGCATCCCTACAGTGTTCCCTACGTCAATGTCAAAAAAAGTTGCCAAGTGCGGCAGGCCATTGCCAAGCCAGTCCTTCTGCAGCTCTGGAAATTAAGATGAAGCCATTAAGTTTTTAATCAGAAAGCATATATTATACCAAGGAGCACAAAATTGCAGAGATGAGCTAGTTCTCCTCTTTCTTCTTTTTTAATACAATTAAGATGTTATCAGGCCAAAGTACAATATTGCAGTATCCTGGCCAAAGTGAAAATCTTTGAAAGGGGCATTTATTTGCCACCAGAACCACAAGCTAATAATGCAGATTATGTGCAGTCCCCATCTGTTGCTTTTTCTAACTTTTGAACAAACCCATGAGGCTGTGTATTGTAAGAGCATTAACAAGCCCAGACACCATTATCAGCGACGTCTAGTGCCTAAAATTTATACTCCACCAGCTATATCCCCCTCCCACCCTGCCCTTGCAATTATGCTTTCCTTCTTTGTTTCCCTTGCAATTAAAAGAATTCACACCCCAAAAACACACTGCCAACTTATAGAATGGATTCAGACCAAACAGACAAATAAGAAAAACATGTCAACCAAATTTCAGACCTGAGTGTAAGGCACAGGCCCATTTATGAGACACAAGGCCCATGTTGCTCAAATTACCCACTGTGTAAAACATGCTCTCATGACTGTGATGCTCTCTTCTCTGGTACTGTGCAGCCTCTAATAAACTTACCACTTCACAAAATGCCAGGAAGCCAAAATATAAAGGAGGAGAAGGCTACAGCAGACAGGGATCCTGCCTGTTGTAGTGCCCTGCATGACAGGGAGATCTTGCAAGAGGCTGAGCTGAAGTCCTACCAAGCATGACCACATACAAAGCTGGAAGAGCTATTGAAAGAGCTATTTATGAATAAAGTTCATACATGGGGTATGGTGCAAGAGGCAGGTTGAAGACCAAGCACATATATTGAAGCATCCTTTTACACTGATAGATCCTGAAATATAGAAAGAGAAAAAAAAAAAGAAAAATCCACTGCCCCATGCCCTCCTTGATTTCTTCTGCCTGAAGAGAGGATTCCAAAAGCTGTGTTTGCAATTTCATGTTAGTCTTTTGTTCTTTGTAACCAGCTATAAGGTTTTTGCCTGTGTTTAATAATGCTAGGGTTCAAAGGTACCAGCCATGTACCAGAGAGACAGGCAAAAGCCACCTTCAGGTAGTATTTTGCACATCTTCCATGTGTACATTACAAATAACAAGTGACAGTAAGCGGCATCACGTGCATCCAAATTCTGGAGCTTTTGTTGGTAGGAAACCTCAATAAACAATTAAATTGCTATCAATGAGAAGTATCCTTTCCTTTTAAAAGCAGTCATTGTTTACAGTCTGAGTTTGTTGTACCTCTAACTGTCGGGCAGCAGCTCCAGCACTCACCTCCTCTGGCCAATCATGCCTGGTAACACCTGTCTTTTCACATTCTCGGTTTTATTCATTATTTATGTTTCTCTTTACACAATACACCCACAGGACAATACATCTCCAGCATGCTTACGATTTGATCCAAAGCTTACTGGAGTCAACAGAATGACTTCACTGGCTCTGGAGCGAACTGAGGGCCCCAGCTCCGCAGACGGGTTTCCAGCCTGAGGAGGGACTTACGCACAAGTTAGGCATCCCAGCCCAGAAGTGCAATCCCAAAATCCCTAACCCTTTAGCTGCTCATCTCTGAACAAGCCAAGGTCTCCAAAAGCCTGAACCATTCAGATTTATTTTTAACTCCAGTTATCTTTTTTGTGAAAAAAGACCCCCAGAACACTAACAAACCCATGAACTACAAGGTCAGGGGATAGACCTCCCTCTCCCAAGTGTGGTCCCAACAACCAAGTGCTGGAGTCATGCTGTATGTATTGTGTGTATATACATAAGTGTGTGTTTGTATATATGTGCATATTTGTATATAATACACAGACACACACACACATTTTTTGCTCCCCCTTCTGGCCCCATGAATCTTGATTTTTTTTTTTATTCTTAATGGAAGCGGAGGAGAGCAGGAGAACAATCCTGCCTCCAGCGTAGCCAGGGATCAGCAGCACTCCTCTGGGAGGCGTGCAGTGTGGATTCCTGCTGAGAAAAGGGCCCCAAAGCCTTGCTCCCTCTGTTATAGCAGCAGGAGATGTCCTCTGCATCCCTGGACACGAATCCCCTTTAGTCGGGCAGGTCCAGCAGCAGAGAAGGCAACACCTTCTTTTTTTAACAGAGATGGTCAATACAGGCAGCACATTATTTAGCCTAACACTGATTTACCAAGAGACCCAGGGCTAACAAACACCAGGCTTGAAAAACATGGTAAGTGGGAAATATACATGTAATTTACATTTTCCTACCTCTTAAGCACCTCTTAAAAATGTGCTGTGTAATCGAGTCAGCTTTCTGTATTTCACAGGGGACCAAACCTGAAATTGCCAGTGTCCTACCTAGCTGACCTCCATTGCTAGGTGAGTTATTCCAGCTTTCAACCCAGGTTTCTTCTTCAGTAAAACTTTTGCCATTTCTCCCTCCAAAACAGTAATATCATAAGCTCTATACATACAACAGGTTTGGTTTGTGGGAGAGTGGCTGGGACCACATTTTGTTCCAGTACATCAAACTAATAAAGGAAAAAAGGAAACAGATATCCTTCTAATTCAATGCAGTTACTTCTGGAAAGAGGGGGAGAGAGAAAAAGGAAAGGCTTTGGACTGACTACAAGTGAAAAAGCTATCAATTTTCCACAAATGGAAATCTTCCCTTTCTAGTTGATGCTGAAGCTGTCCCAGACAGAGGAGATCTCTACCCCAGAAACACAGCTGCCCATCACTCATTTTCTAGAACAATCCCACAGACACGGCTCCCAGCACCTTTGTTTCATCTCAAGATGAAGATTTTTCACTCTAGACATATCTTATCCCATAAAACCCCACTCCAGTGACGACCACAGTGGCAGACACTGTCACTGATGGCTACCTGCTTGCTGGTAACACCAAGATCTCATGTTTGTTGCACACTAGTCTGGTGCATCACCCCTCACGGCTGGGGATACTGCATGCACACACAGGTGGTCCCTGCTGTCCCAACACTGCCTGGGACCTGCCACCATGTGCCTCTTCTGCCTGGCAGCTGGATAGGCATCTCTGCTGCCCCCTCCCACCCTACTGCACGACCTGCCTTGGCTAGGAACCTGCCTCGGTTCTGCCAACAGGTGAGGGCGGACAGGAGAAGTGGAGACCACAGAAAAGTGGAGACTGCTGATAAAGACACAGCCTTGCTCATTCTTGTCACTCACAAGGTGTAGCTGTTCCCCCCACCTCAAACCACTCCACCCTACCCTGCACTGAGGTGGAACTTGACAACTGGCAGAAGGCCAGCACTGCTTTGGCACATCCCAGTGCAGACACCCCCTGGGCAAACCTTTGGCTCCCACAAGTGCCATCCCCTGGGCACTGCCCAAACCGGGGTCCAGCCAGCCACGGGCCAGAGCCGGGAGGGGAACCAAGCAGTCAGGGGACTTACCCAGCCTCCGTTGTCCTGGATCCAGTTGTGCAGGTGCCGGTTCAGGTACTCAGTCATCCAGGTGGCAATGTTGTCCACGAGGGGAAACATCTCCCTGTTGACGCTCTCCACACACATCACACCGCCAAACTCGAAGAAGGCCACAATTCTGCCCCAGTTAACCCCATCTCGGAAGAGCTCCTCCACCACCGCCACGAAGCGGCTCCTGGCTGTAAAGGGCGTCAGGTGCAGCTGGCCAGACATTTGGGAAAAGTCTCTCTGGTAGCGTCGGGAGAACTCATCCCCCGCCTGGCGTAGGACGAGGTGGACGGCCTGGGGTGCAGGGCGCAGCCCCTCGGCTGGGGGCGTGTGGCTAGCAGTAGCCGAGCCGGGGGGCTCGGGGTGCGGAGACACCAGCCCAGTGTGATCAGAAGTCCCAGCAGCAGCAATCGCAGCAGCAGCAATCGCAGCAGCAGCAGAAGCGGAGTGATCTGGAGGCAGGGATGCCCTGTCCTCGCCGGCAGCCCAGTCGTATCCCCTCTGAGAGAGTTTATAGTGGATGTACTTCAGCACTATCTCCCGGTTATCGTAGCCTCTTCTCCCCGGATGAGCCATAATTCCCACGAGGAAGCAGCAAGAGGAAGGGAGAGAGGAAGAAGAGGAGCAGGATGAACCCAAAAAAGTAAAGCAGCCAATAATAATAAAATTATTAACACCAAAAATTATAATCCAGTTATTGTATTGGACATGGTTTCATTCATGCTGGTGTGGGGGAGTTCTCGGGGTCTCGGAGGTACTTTTGTCTTCTCAGTGTTTCCTCCTTGGTTTGAGATGCACGGCATAAATAGGGATTACAATGCTGTAAATACTTTACTTCCAGGTGCACATTTATTACTTATTATAAATTTACTTTAGGACCATTTCCTCCTCGGTGTTGAAATACATCTTAAAAAATATTATACCGATTCAAAATCAGGTGCATTTTCCCCTAGGTGCTGGACTACCATGGACACGAAGGAGCAGATGAACACACACTGTAAAAACTGCAATTCAACACAATTTGCTAAAGCAGCCTTGGATGGACGTTAATCCAATGCACTTTATGACAGAAACCTCAACATTAGGATTTGGGGTTTTTTGTTACACAAACTAAGTTTCCTCTGTAAAGTACTTACTTGGACTATAGATATGTTCCTCTGTCAAGTTTCCTTTAAAAGAAAAATAGCAACAATAAAATCCAAACATCACAAGTCTTCAGAAGCGTTAAGTTCTGGTTGCTTTTGATGCTTCAAGTCAACAAGGGGGTAGGAACGGGGCAAAAAAAAAATTTCTACGATTTCAAATGGTTTTTCCCAGACTCCTGTTTAACAGACATCTCCAAAGATGTGTCAAAGCTCAGAAAATCCCGCCTCGCAGACCGGGAAGGCGAACAACCCCAAAGAGACGGAAAATCCTGGAGACCAGATGAACCACATTTGAATCCAAGCTCTCGCAGAAGTGCTCTGTTTTCCCTCCAGTGCAACGTACAGACTATGCATTTACGTAGTTTCATTCAGACACCGACAGGAACGCGTTGCTTCCACACACACGCACGCACACACCCAAAATTTAAAAATTTAAAAAAGTCATGTATTTAGGAAATTAATCTTTTTCACCAGAACACGCAAAAAAAAAATTAATAAAAGAAAATAAAAATAAAGACGGAATTGCTTTTGACTGCTGCCATTTCCGAGCAGCTTTGTATGAGGAAGAGCCCGGCGCTCCACGGGGCGCGGAGGGGCGTGTGCGGTGGACTGGTCCGATGGGGACGCGCCCGGCGCCCTGCCGCCGCCCGCCCGCCGCGCACCCCGCGCACCGCCGGCTGCGGGCGGCTCCTCCGGCGCTCCCGCTGCTGCTGCTGCCGCCGCGGCGCAGCGGCGGCTCCGACGGCGCGCGCAGCGCGCCGAGCGCGGCGGCCGCGGGGAGCTCTCCGGCGCGCGTGCGGCGCGGGGGAGCGCAGCGGAGCGGCGGGCGGGGAGAGCGGGGAGACGGAGCCGAGGGGGAGGCTCCGGCTTCGCTCGGCGTAGCCGGGCGTGGTTTCTAGAGCTCCGCTCACGCTTCATTCAAAAAGGGGGAAATGGGAGGGGAGGGGGCTAAAAAAAAAAAAAAGAAAAAAAAAAAATAGGCGGCGGCGGGGGAGGCGAGCAGCCCCCCGCAGTCCGGGCCCGCCCTCCATCGCGGCGCGGGCCTGGGGCCGGCGCGGGGCGGCGGAAGAGGCGCGGAGAGCGGCGGAGCCGCGGGCGCGGAGGAGCGGGGTCCGGGGCCGCGGGCGGTGCTGCCGGCCCGCGCCGCCACCGCCGCCGTGCGAAGGAAGCGGCGGCGGAGCCGGGGCTGCCGGTCCCGCTCCGCGCCTCTGCCGCCGCGCGGATTCATTGAATTTTTTTTTTTTTTTTAATAAATGAAACGGGAGGGAGGAAAAAAAAAAAAAAGAAAAAGAAAAAAAGAAGTCCGAATACACCTTTTTAAAAAGCAAAGTGGCCCGCTGCAGGCATGCAGGCTCCGTGCATTTTGCTTCGAGGGTGTGCGCTGGCCGCAGCCCTGCGCCGCGGAGCCTGTGCGATCTCGCCGGCCTGGCTGTGCGGATGCCCCTCCCGGCGGCGGCCCTGGCCATGCGGGTACCGCACACCTGCTCCGTGCAGGCCGCCCCCGGTCGGTGTTCAGGCGATGGGACAGGCAGGGAGTTAGGTTTTAGGACTTTTTATAGAAACGGAGCTCAGGCTTGTTTCTGCGCCCAGCCTGAAGAATTTTTTTTACATTGAAGAGAGGCATTGAGGAGCTGCTTGAAGATGAGGTCAATCTGGAGTTGACCAAAGAAGCAGAGTTAACCTTTAAAGCTGGTTAAATCCACAGAGCTGGGAAATAGCGATGGCTGCCCCTTTGCCATCCCGAGCAGGGACACTGGGGGCCAGGATGTGTGATGGACTGCCCCAGCTGAAATGGGGCACCATACCAAAGAAATGCCAAGCCGAACGCGAGCAGGACATTCCCAGCACCTTTCTCTGCTAAGTGCAGGATGGGAAAAGAGACGTTTGATAAATTCTTCCAGTTTTTGTCGATATAAGGGTGATTGGATGATAATCCGTCTGTAAACTACGCCGAAAATAAAGGAATAAAATGCATAAACAAAGCTGTGACCATGAGTTCTCTTGGACAGGGCCACTGGGAATGAATTTAGAGATGGTTCTTCAGGCACGGACAGGGTGGCTGCTCCTCTGAGGAAATGGCACTGTGGGAAGGTGAGCAGCTTTCTCTCCAACAGAAGGGGAAGTCTCCGCGTGCAAACGAGAAGGATTCCCCTAAAAGGAGGTCACCTGTGCCCTCGGTGATTCAGGGTTTTGTTTCGAGGCCGCACCGAGGAATTGGTTTCTGACACGTACGAACAGCGCCTTTCCAGGTGCCTGAGGACGCGTTCAGGCTGTTTAACCTTCTGGCGTCTGTTTTTTAGGGGGGCACGGGGAGGCACTCGCACCATACCTAGTGCCAGCATCCTCCCCTCTCTCCCTCTCTTCCTGCCTCCCTCTCCCTCCCCCGCTCCTCTCCGGCGGGCGGCTGTTGCCACCCAGCGGCCGCCGCTCGCCCCGGGCTCGGGGCTCGGCCGCAGGAGCCGGGACTCGCTCGGTCCCTGCGGGAGCGAGGAGCTCGCTGGCCTCGCACCCGCTCGGGAAACTGCGGGAGCGAGGCGGAGCCCTCTCATCTGTCCCTGCCGATGTGCGAGACGGGTTTGACTGTGGGTGGTTGAGTTCTCGGGGGTTAAGAGGGACAGAGATTGCAAGAGAGCAAGGGAAATGAGTTCAGGTAAGACTGATGACGCGCTGTGAAGTCGTGGACTAAGGGCTGTACCGCACCAGGGCGAGTGTGCAACTCACAGCATGCTTTAATGATGGACCACAAGCTCATCTCATCTCCATCCATATGAAAGACCCCCCAGGTGCTTGCGATGAGCTGAGGGATGGCTTCTGATGGCAGAAATGCAGACAAGGTATCTGTCAACCAAGTAACATCATCACCTTTATATTCTTTCACCAAAAGAGAACAAAGAACAAGAGGTCTCTCAAAACTGAAAGCAACCTGACATTTCCATGTAACCATTTCCATGGTTTAAATCGAACAAGCGATACAGGAAATCAGAACGGCCATAACCAACCTGATGCTCATTCATTGCTGTGCTGGTGATTGAATCTAATGCAATTGGTCCTGCAACTGAAAATGCATCAGAGATGCTAAGTAACACAGAAACCCTGTCTAGGTAAGCTGCACAATGACGTTCTGGCAAGATCAGTTTTAAAGCCCAAAGAATAAATCAGTGTGGGACGGATGCAGAAGATGCATATAAAATCAATGGGTTTTTGTAAGGAGGAACTGAAAATATCACTGATTCTGCTTACGGTATTTAAAGGTATTTTGCATGTAAAAATGCAAGTGAGGCCAGGTAAATGAACAGAGTGTACTAAGGACATAGTAAAATAAGAGTTTCATAATTTATAACTGATTCCTCATGGAAACAGGTACAGCAGAATTTTATCAGATACCCTGTTTGAAAGGGATTTACTGATGATGCTTTTCCCTCAGCAGCTCTACATTCAGCACTTTGTTATGGGAATGATAGCTCCCAGCTTTTTAAAAATGTTTAATAGGAAAATAGTGGTCATGGTTCACCAGAAAGTTTGCTAACACCAAACACAGCTGAGACTGTACCAAAAATTATAAAAAACACAAGGGAAAATCCTGGGAAGTGTTTGCTTTAAGCAAGGGTATTAGCGTTGAGTCATAGGAAACAAAAACTGTGCCTTGAAGAATGACAAATTGGGATTCTGTAAAAAAGCGAAACAAAAAGCACATTTGAAGCCTTGTTCTTAACATTAAACGTCAAAAGCATTGCATCTGACCTATACGGCTCTAATTGAAGGGAGCGGCATCTTAAAAGCAATTATGGTACCTGAATGGGTGACAAACATCTATTACAGTGTCACGAGTTTGCATCACAGCACTGCTTTTCACCTTGCTTGTTTGTCTGAGCTCAGCAGGATAAAACAATAGTTAAGAACACATCCAAAAGAAGGGCAATATGGTTCTGGAGGTAGATGGAAGAAATGGCAAGAGAAACTCAGGATTTATTAAGGAACATGCAATCAGTGCACAAAGTCAGCTAAGAAATCATGGGGCTTTTAGGTAGCAGAATAAGATGCTGACTACTCAAGATTTGATCCTGCAAGTCCTTCCACACATATTTACCTTTATGTGAGTCAGCCCACCAACATTAATCAGACTTATAAGAATTACCTGTACAAAGAATTGGAATTTGATTAGGAATACAAGCAGCAGCTCACCTGCAGAAAGCTTTTTTGACACTTAAAGAGAGGTGAAAGCGTTGCCATTCAGGCATCAGTCAGGTCTGGTAGCATGAGAGACAGATTATTTTCTTGAGATAGCTTTCTTATTCATGCTTGGTCAACTGACCAGACAGGATCCTGGAAAAGGCTGCTTTTTCTTCAGTGGCTTCTCAGATGCCCACTGTACAGCAGATGTATTATTAACAAATTATGTAGAAAAGTTTGTAATGTCTGGCAACTATAAACTTCCCAACAACCTGAAAGCAGACACCTTTTCCCTGTACCTTTGTGTTGGACATCAACAGGCTTTCAGCAGCAATCCTGGTTCCTGGTGACCTGCCCACCCTTTTATTTCCTTGGCTCATGCGCAGGGAAGTTAGAGAGAGCAAAATTATTGTTTAAAGCCCTGCCTGAGCAGGCACGAAACAAGCAGGATATGTGTTTGCACTCACAGTGAGCAAGGACATTGCCACATTTTTTCTGAAAATCTGCAGGGTTTTCTATTCTGGAAAAAAAAAATCAAAACCACCATTACCACCTACCAAAAACCCCAACAGCAGTAAACTAAATCTGAGTGACCTGAAAGAAGCATTTAGAGCAATATAGGTAAATGCACCTATGACACTGGAAGAGGTCCATTGCCTTATGGTGTTGGAGCACCGCCTAAATACTGGCTTCACTGAAAGAATCCACTAAGACTGTGCCCACAGGTGGGGAATTTGCACATATGCAAATCAGCATGCCACTCCTCACAAAGCCAATACTCTGTAAATACTTTTTGGTGCCTTGTCCAGTGAGGTATTTGTCTGTGCCACCCACTATGGCCATGCTTCCCTCAGTTCCAGGCATTCAGTGCTGCTCCCTCCCATGCCAGCATTCATTTACTCTGCAGGCCCTTGTGTCTGCAAGAGCTTTCTAACCCTGAGTAAAACTAACCACCAACCACATGACCTTTCATGTTTGTTTCTGTCCGTGAGACCACAATATCTACAGATCTATAGTATCTCTGCCAAGCTGGATGAAATGTCTTGAAAGCAATATTCTTGTAGAGACTTGCATGGATGCACATAATTCTCAGCTATCAGGTGCCACCATTTATTGCTCAGACTCTCATCTGGTTTGCTCAACATGTGGCCCAGCATTGCTGCCTAGGAAGTAGCTGTCTGTCATATAGAATGCTTCCAAAATCAGTTTTCTGTACAAAAAAAATATAGGAAAAGTACTACCATGAAGCCTGGATGCATAT